GCCCCGGGCTTGCCAGCCCAGGCGCCCGGCCTCACCCAGCCCGGGCAGCGCCTCGGGGGCGGCGGGCGGGACAGCGAGGGAGGCTGAGGCAGGCCCCCGGCGCGGGAGCTGCGCCCAGCGGGGAGGCGGCCCGGGTCTGGGAGCCCGCACGCTGGCGAAGGCAAGGACGGGGCGGCCTGCGGAGGGGCGGGCGCCGCTCATCAGCCACGCCGGTCACGTCTGGGGCCACCCGGCCGCCTTTTTCCTCCTTTCCCTCGGCTCTCTCCCCCTCCCCTGTCGGCGAGGGCAAAGTGGTGGCGGCGGCGCCATGCCCGGGCCGGAGTGAGTGCGCGCGGGCGAAGATGGCGTACATCCAGGTAGGGCTGAGGCTGGCAAGGTGCGGGGTGCGGGGTGCGGGGGCGTGCCGCCCCCACCCGGCCGGGAGCGCGCGCAGGGGAGGGCACCTGCCTAGGCTCCCACAAACTTGCCTGCAGAAAAAGGGTGCGGAGCGCAGGCGACCGGTGCCGCGGCGGCGCTGTACCCAGGAGGCGAGGCAGGGGACCCCGAATTTCGGGATGGAGGGCCCGAGTGGGCTCCGCAGCGCGCCCTCTCCTCCCCGGGGGAGAAGGGGGGTGGGGCGGACTTTTCTCCCCTCTGGCCTCCCTTCCTACTCCCCTCCCTTCCCTGGCACCCCACCCCAGGGGAGGGGCCGCGGCCAGGGGCGCGCCCGCTGTGGCCCGCCAGCTGCCGTTGCCGTGGTGACAACTCTGGCTAATTGGCCGGCGAAGCAAGCTGGAGACAGCTGTTCAGGCCAGGAGGGACAAGGACGTCGTTGTCCCTCCCGGGCACTGAGTGTCTAGTGCTGGGGGACACATACAGAGACTAGAGCGCACTGGTGAGGGTTGGAGCCGGTTACTTTAACCTATTAGATTGGGGACTGGGAGTTGTCCGGGACCCCTTCGCCTTGAAGACGCTCCCCCAGCAATCCTTGGGCTGGAATTATTTCTGAGACCTTTTCATGAAGGGTGGAGCTGGGCTGGGCTGGGCTGGGCTGGGCTGGGCTGGGCTGGGCTGCTCCGCTCCTCTACAAGACCTTTTTTGGCTGCTAGGAGGGACGCTGAGACAGGTCAGCGCCAAGGTCACGCGAGTAGACCCGCAGTCACACCCACTGAGCTGCTTGCGTCTGGAGCTGCCACCTCTGAGCCCGAAGCCAGCAGGCTCCCGCGTCCAGGGGCTCACAACTTGTCCCCTCAGTCTCAGTATGGGGACTGCTGATCCCCTAGTTCTGCTCTGGCACACACATCCCTTCATCTTGTCCTCAGACTCTGTGGTCTGTCATCTGGCGGAGGCTCCCGGCTCCTCTTCCAGCCTAGAGTCCCTGCATTGGCTCCCTCTTCCTGGAATCCCGAGGTCCTCATTTCAAGTTCAGTGAAGGTCACATTTACTGTGGATGGAGTGTTACTGGGGCACCACTCAACAGTCATCCAACGTACAGCCACCAACTACGTATCTGCACTTGGTGTACAGCAGGGCCGTCTCTGCCCTCCCTGCTGAATGTTCAGCCTAGTGAGAAATGAACCTAGCAACCTGCTTCTGAGCTGCTTAGTGACTGCTTTCAGCCCAGAGAAATTAAGTGACTTGCCCAAGGCCACACAGTTTCTTAGGGATCAGGTGAGATCTAAAACACAGGATGATGGGAACACATGGGGGATGTGTTAAGCATCTCGTATAAGCATGGCCAATGATATTGTTCCATTTTTACTACAAAGTACTAGATAGTAAATACTTTTTTCTTAGAGATCCACACATTCTCTGCCTGTCACAATTCTTTTTTTTTTTTTTTTTTTTTTTTTGGTACTGGGAATTGAACTCAGGGGGACATGCCAGGCAGGCACTGTGCCACTGAGCTGTATCCGTGGTCTGTTGTCACAGTTCTTCAGCTTTGACTCTACCTCTGACAGCCGTGGATGGTAGTAAACAAGTGGGTGTGGCTGTGTTCTAATAAAACTTTGTAGGCCTGGGGTGCAGCTCAGTGATAGAGCATTTGTAGAGCATGCATCTCTAGTGCTCCCCAGCAAGCATTTGATTTGTGGTTGCTGAAATTTGAATTCTCCATACCTTGCACAAGTCAAGAAACAGTAATCATTTTATTTTCCTCAATCATTTAAACATGTACTTACATCTTAATTCAAGGGCTATGTAGAAATATTCCTGGGAGACACATGCCTGGAAGATCATTGTAAATTGGAGGCCAGGCTGGATTACAGAGTGAGTTCAAGGTCAATCTGAATTGGATAGTGAGACCCTGTCTCAAAACAGAAAAAAAGAAATAGGCCTGGGGCTGGGTTTGGCCTGAGCTTGCAACTCCTGTTAGTTAGGATATCTGGGCTCAGCATTCTGCTTTCTGGTCTCCACCAGTTCTCCTGTGAGGAGCCAGAGAGGAGGCCTGAGCGAGCCTGCAGGCCTCGGGGTACTGTATCACGTTACTGTGCACCATGCCTCTGTGCCTCCAACCCTCATCTTGTTGTTATTATTATTATTATTATTATTATTATTATTATTTTATTGAGAAACAAATATCAATGAGACACTTTCCAAGCTGATTAATAGGACATTTTCAATAATTAATATATTGCACATTATTATCTTCTCAGCAGTTATCCACAACACAAGAAGCAGCCAGGACATCCTATCCAAACACTACTACTACAAATCTTTCCTCTCACTAACCCTTATCTTGGGTTTGGGCCCAACACAGTGGCACAGCTTCCAGCGGCCCTGTGATGGCTGTTGTGGCTTTGCACATGGTTCTCTTTTGGTCACTTTGTACCTGGGAAACACTCCCCTAAATGGAGAGCATGGGCATGGGTTTTTTAGAAGGGTACAGCTCTATTCCAAAGTTGAAGCACTTTCTCAGGTGTGCCCCGTGATGTAGCCAGTGACTGAGTGCACTGCATAGCTGCCAGGACACTGCCTGCTTGCCGCCTGCTAGCGCCCTGCAGGTCTTGACAGCCACCTCTCATAAGCCAGGGAAGGGGTGTGCTTTATTGTGCAGCTGGGCAGCACACAGGCATTTTCATAGTCACCCTTCTTTCTCACCTCAGTAGCTTCCCTTTGTGGACAGGGTAGCTCCCCTACTAGAGAAAAGACAAAACAGGCTCAGAGAGACACCCTGCCTGACTTGCAGAACATATGTGATGGATGGTGGGGTGCGGCCAGCACTAGGGCTTCTCCACTTGGCTTTCTGTGTGGTGCTTTAACACTGCAGATCTTGTGCAGTGTACGGCCTGAATTTTGGTTTTGGAGGAGTTTGGGATTAGTGTCTTTGTTTCCCAAGTGGCAGTTAATCCTTTACCATCTCAATGATCATATATTTTTTTTTAATGTATTTGGTACAGGGTCTCACTACACCTTTCAGACTCCTAGTGATCCTCCTGTTTTCAGCCTCCCCAGCACTGGGATTATAGGCATGTTCCACCACGCCAGACCTCAGTGACCCTCTCAGTGCACCCGGGGGCGGGGCCAGCTCAAGATCAAACTTTGTCCGGGCGTTTGCTTAAGTGGGAGCTATCTTGCCGACCTTAGAATCAGGAATTTATCAGCCACATACCACTGGCACTATTAACTTTTTATTGTAAATGGACTTTTTTGTACTTAAAAATCACATAAAAAGAGGAAACTTTATGTCATTGCAGCAATAGGAAACGAGGATCATGTGATGTAAGCAGAAGGCAATTGGAGAACTAAACAAGTTGATAGAGCCACATGTTACTAATGTGGGCTGGGCAGGCCATGTCCCAGCTGGGATCAGCTTTCTTTGTTTCAAAGGAAGTGTGGGGTCAAGGGTGAGCAGTGAGTGGTAAGACCCAATGCAGAGTTTCTTTTTCTTGCAAAAGAAGTAATTGAAAAAGACAAATTTGGTCCCCTTGGATTCAAAGTTCTGAGCCCCATCTGGGTTCATCTCTAGAATGTGTTGTAGGCTGCAACACAGAATGCTTAGGCTACCTGGCTCACTTGCCGAAGGGGAAAGCCAGCTGTCTGGAAGAGGAGGAGAAAGTCTGTGCCTAAGCAACCTGGGTGAACCTGTGGGTGGGGGGTGGGGCCAAGAGTGAGGGATCCTCCCCCCCTTGCCCAGCTCTTGGCTTCCTGGTTGATTCCCCCTATTAGTGGGTGGTTATATGAAACTCCCTACCATCACCATTGGAGCAGACTCGGAAGGTAGGGCTTCTGGGAGGGGGGGGGAGCCAAGTGACAGCCACTCTGCCTGTTAGCTAATCATGTCCTGTTGGGTTGGCTTCATGGCTATTTCTGTATAGGAAGGTTTGCGATTCCCCTGAAGTGTGGCTGCATTGGATAGCATGACTATCTATCCACCCGCTCTGATTCATAACAGCATACGGTGCAAATCAGATCGAAATGCTAAAGTTGCCCATTCATTCGGTGTTGGTTAACCAGAAGGCTACCAGCAGCCCCGAGCATAGCAGTACCTTGTTAGCAAGTCAGCTTCCTGCCCAGGATGGTAAGTGGAAGGATGCAGGGTGCTTTTGTTTGCTTGCTTTCCTTTTCCAGTTGCTGGAATATTGCTAAACTGGTCTTTCTCTCTTTCTCTTTGTAACCCCTTCACTCCCTTCTGCCCCCTGGCTTCATCGTGGATCTCTAAAAGGGCAGTTGGAACCACTAAACGAGGTGGGTTAATTCAGTGATGTGTGTTGTCTGGTTGCTAATCAAGAAATGTTTGCCTTTCATGTTGGAGGCTTGTGTGGGGTTGTGGGGATACTGAGTCTCAATCAATCACTGTTGATAAGGGCAGTTTCTCTCTATGGAAAGGAGATCCCAGTGAAAGGACACTAATTGGCAAGACAGGTGCCCCACTTCGCCCCCAATCGTTCCGTTAACTCTCTCTGTGTACTTTTATGTCACTGAGATGACTATTTTTAAATGTTTTTCTTCGCCTGCATGAAGAGTAATATTCATTGTGTTTCAAGAACATATTGTCTGGCCCTGATGTTGTATAAAACATCCAAATGTCAAGAAAGACGTTTGCATAAACTACAAAGAAAAATACCTGCAAATGTTTTGCTTGCTCTGAATGGCTGCGTGGAGTTGATGTTTGCCAATCTGTGCCTGCCGTTGGTAAATAGGAATGGGAAACATTTTGTTCTAAATGCTAGTGGTGGAGACAGAGCTCCTGAATGTCTTTGCCTCCTGCAGGACTGGGTTGCTTGTAATTTTTGGGTGTTGTTTCTTCTCTTCCTCCTCTCCACCCTCCTGGCCTCCCTTTGTCCCCTTCCTTGCACCCCCACCCTGTATGGCCTCAGGGTTTTCTTTCTAGAATATCTGATCTGCTGCTGTGCAGATGGACCTGCCGGCATTGCTGTCAGAAGTGCTACGAGTCCAGCTGTTGCCAGTCAAGCGAGGATGAAGTTGAAATTCTGGGACCTTTCCCAGCCCAGACTCCTCCCTGGTTGTGAGTAAAACTGCTTTGAAATCAACCTCACAAGCCTGCCTGCCTGCCTGCCTGCCTATCTCTCTCTGTCTCTCTCTGTCTCTCTCTGTCTCTCTCTCTCTCTCTCTCTCTCTCTCTCT